AACTCCAGCCACGTGGCGCAATCGGACTATTCACAGACTCACACAGACACACACACAGACACAGACACAGACACACACAAGAGAGAGAGAGAGGAAAGAGAGAGAGAGAGAGAGAGAGAGAGAGAGAGAGAGAGAGAGAGAGAGAGAGAGAGGGAGAGAGAGAGAGAGCAGGCGAGAGAGAGAGAGAGAGAGAGAGAGAGAGAGAGAGAGAGAGAGAGAGAGAAGGTTCGGTTGAAGTCATGACAGGTGTAGATCGGAACACACCCTCACTCACTCGCTCACTGCAATTTCCACTGACGACTCCACTTCTGGCCATCCCATCGCACTGAGGTTTACTGCTAAACCTGTGGCCGTCAACAATGCTCTGAACAGTGAACATGCCAGAGGCTACCGGCTCGGGTCGGGAACTCTCAAATGTCGAGATGACGCACTTGTGTCCGAAGTCAATACTCATCAGTACCATAATGGTTTTGCTTTTTTTCTTTTTCATGGTAGTAACTGGCCTGCAGAGATTGTAATTATACCTGTCTTAGTAGTAGGGTCGGGTGGCTGCAAGGGGATGCAACCCAAAGGGCAATGATGGTGTGTGCGGCAGACTCTGAGGAGGGGGGAGGAATGGATATGACCCCCTTCCGAAAACAGACAAGAAAAAAATGAAGAGAAAGAAAAGGTTGTGGGTATAGTAGGGATCTACAGTGGCCTGACAAAAAAAGAAAGAAAAGAAAGAAAAGAAAGAAAAGAAAGAAAAGAGAGTAGTATAGAAATTATTTTGCACCTAGAGTGACGATGGTGGCAATATTGTGGTTCATCGGCTTTGGTAGTGGATGTGTTTCGTGGTGGGGAGAGGGGGGGGAGGGGGGGGGTTGAAGGCCGGGTGGGGGGAGTTAGACCCCTGCATGCTACATTAAAGGTTGCGACCTCTGCAGCATGCCAGATTGTATAAGCCAGTGCATGATACAACCTCTGCTTGCGAATGCTGCTGCGCGCCGGATTGTATAAGCCAGTGCATGACACTGGCCAGAAGAACGTGAAAAACATATGGACGTGTGCATGCATGCATGCAAGAATTGGCGTTGCACGCACCCGGGATCCAGTCAGAATGAACGTGGCAGCATATGGACGTATTATCCATGCATGCATGCAACCATACATATCAGAATTGGCATTATACAATGCACAATGCACATGATACGGGCAGAAAATATGTGGGAGCATACGGATGTTTTGTCAATGAATTGGCATTGCACGCATGCATGGAGGACAGTACATCCGTATGCTCCCACGTTCTTTCTGGCCGTATCATGTGCATTGTGCAATGCCCATTCCTACATCCATAATTGCATGCATGCATGCATAAAATATAATACGGCCATATGATGCCACGTTCGTTCTGACTGCGTACTACTGTCCATGCATGCGTTTAATTGGCATTGTACCTAGTATACAATACAGGACGCAGTCAGAAAGAACGTGGGCACATATGGATGTACTATCCATGCATGCATGTCAGAATTTGCATCGCACGCATGCATACATACTGCCGGCAGACAGAATGCGGAAGCATATGGATGTATTGTACACGCATCCTTGCAACTATTGGCATTGCATGCACAGAGGATGCGGTCAGACAGAACGTGGCAAAGATATGGATGAACTTACTCATGCATGCGTGCGTGCATGCACGCATGCAGTAATTGGCAAAGCACGCACACGGTATGCAGGCAGAAAGAACATGCTCGTATGAAAGAAGGTGCTCGTATGAAGGTATTTTCTCCATGAATGCCGCAAGAATTGGCATAATTGCATGCACACAGGATGCAGTCAGAAAGAACGTGGTGGCAAAGATAGGGATGTATTATCCATGCATGCAGGAATTGGCAAGCATGCAGGAATTGGCAATGCACGGAAAGCTGTACCAGCCCCGTGAACATGGCCGGCCCCCGTCAGCGACTGGTGACCGCCCGGTCACCGGACCGTTTTTCCGTGAATGGCCGTTCGCGCAGTTTCAGGCCACGTGGCGTCTGGTCCGGTCGGGATCGTGGCAGGAGGGGGGTGCTGCGGGGGTGGGCTCCACCCGCCGGACTTCAAATTCGAAAAGAAACAGACCGAAAAGATAGTTTGTATACATTCGGTATCAGGCAGACGGGAAAGATAGGTTGTATACATTTCAGCATCGGGGTGCGTTGTGTTCGGAGGAAGACGGGATACAGGGAACAATGAGGGGTCAGGCGGTAAACGTGCTTACCAGCTCCCTCCAAAGGGGAAAAAAAAAAGAAAAAAAAAAAGCGGACGGGGGCCGAGGGCAAACGGAAAAGATGATCCTTGGGGACGTCCGTTAATTCGTGAAAACCTAACAAAACAAATTGTTAGGTTTGCACAAAATGTATTCAAGATTATGATTGTACGTTTTTCAAGCCTCCTCCAGGAACAAAATTCTACGTTAAGTAAAACAACCGCAAAAAAAAAGATTCAAAAATTACTTTTTGAGAACCACTGGAAGTGGCGAGGAAAAAAACAGGTTTTTCCACATAAAATCACTACCAGGTGAAGCAGCGTATGTTCAAGAACTGAAATATCTCATTGTTTTGTTATCTCAAAAAATCATGTTTATAGTCCTATAAGCAGGGTTACCTGACCGAACGTTCGGGGGTCCCCGGGCTGGCCCCCGAACGTTCGGGCGTTCGGGGTCCCGTTCGGGGGCCGAACACCTCCAGGTTCGGCCCCCGCAAAAAACAATTTCGGGGCCTAAACCTAAGTTTTCTTTTCTGATTTTTTTTTGTGAGTTCTCTATGATGTAACCTACACGCCTATAAATTTTGAAGCCATTCTGCTAAGCCACACAAACATTAAAAATCGTCAACGATGGGGGTGTCAAAACGTGCTCGCCCACTCACTATTTTTTTTTTTCACTTTTAACTTTTTGTTTTCACTTTATTTCGGGGCCTAAAACATTTTATTATTTTTTGAATTTTTTTTAATGAGTTATTGATTATGTAAACTACACATCTGTAAAAGTTTAGGGCATTTGTCAATGCCAAAAAATAATTAAAAATCGGCAAAGATGGCGGTGTCGAAAAGGTGCTGGCACACTCACTCATTTTAATTCTCTTTTTATTTTTTCTTATTTTTATCATAGTGTTTATTTTCTGTATTTGATTTTTAATTCAAATTTGGTAAGGAATTTGGATGTAGTGCCCAGGCAAATGTTTTTTAGTTATTTTTTTTTCATAACATATGTTTTTTTCGGAATTTTTTGAAATTTGGTTTGTTTTTTTGTTTTTTTTTTTGGGTCCACGTTCGGCCCGAACGGCCGAACGCCTTCCGAAGGGGTCCCGTACGGTCGGGCGTTCGGGTTTGGGCGTTCGGCCCGTCCCGAACGCCAGCAACCCTGCCTATAAGATGTATAGCACGATGAACGTATTTGCGGTCGGGCGTTCGGGTTCGGGCGTTCGGCCCGTCCCGAACGCCGGCAACCCTGCCTATAAGATGTATAGCACGATGAACGTATTCGGGGGGGTTTTGAATGCTCAAACATGTTCTCAAACATATTCTCCCATACCTGAGCGAACATATTATTTTTTACTGTTTATTTTATTTGTTTTCCCATTTTTTTAATTTTAAACTCGTGTTTGGCTAAGAATTTGAAAGTGTCTCCCTGACAAAAGTTGTTTGTATTCTTATTTAAAATAACATATATTTTTTGCTAAGGGTTTTATTGCTACGAATCCCCATCGGCGGCGGACAAGCACGGCCGAGTCCGCGACCCCGTGGACGCGACCGCGCGGCCAGGCAACTTCGCGGACGCGTGGCGGCCGGTGGGGGAGGGGGGTTGGGGATTCGGGAAGCGCCATGGGGCGGCGCAACCCCAGCCCCACCCCCTCAAGCAAAAAAAAATTAAAAAAAAAACAATTTTTGGGTGGGGGGGGTTGGGTGAGTGGAGGTATTTCAAAAAAA